AATGGTTCGGACTGGCAAAAGAAAACATGTGGTTGCGTCGTAATTCTGCTGGCACTCACGAGCCATAGGCAAAAACATATAAAAACATGCAAGTCAATTTCCCCGCATGAAAAAAAAATGTGACGAAATAAGAACTAACATGGTTGCGTCATATAGTGTATCGCAGCTTTACTTCCCAGGAGCAAAGTGAGCAGTTGCGTATCACGCTCCCAACGACGGCAAGGCATCAATTTTTTAGCGATCAGTTTAACAAAGGCGAGTTTGAGCTGGTTGCTTTATATATAGTAAATCTGGGGAGAATGTAAGTCGGAGAGTGATGAGGAAGGTTACCTAGGTTGGTACACTTGACAATTGTTGTCGGTGCGGGAGTGATGTTGTTCTTGGTGGGCGGCTGACTCGCCGCCCCCACCAGGGTTGTTATTGTTGAAGTGGGGTGGGGTGGGGTGAGGCATGTTAATGTTCCTTGTAAGTAGCACACATGTTGTAATGCTACGCAACTGAAGGGTTGGGGTGGGGTAGGGCATGTTAACGTTCCTTATCATTTGCACACATGTTGTAATGCTACGCAACTGAAGGGTTGGGGTGGGGTGGGGCATGTTAACGTTCCTTGTAGTTTGCACACATGTTGGATGCTACGCTACTGAAGGGTTGGGGTGGGGTGGGGCATGTTAACGTTCCGTGTAGAGAACGCAGAAAAGAACTAGCCGATTCATCATTCGACATGTTGTTGTTGTCTCGCGTTGAAATCACAATATTGAGCGTTCGATGTACAAGCACATGGATAGAGATAGATAGATAGATTTATATATATATATATATGTGTGTGTGTGTGTCTGTGTGTGTGTATATATGTATATCTACTACATGAACTCCAAAAAATATATATTTTTTTTCGGACCTTAAAAAAAACCCTTCGTTTGCATGGAAAAAAACAGTACATTTGAAAAGAAAAACAAAAAGCCTTGGAAGACACAGTGAATTTGAAGCTCTGGTTCAGGTGAAACAGACAGTGAATCACTCCGAAACCACAGCGAGAAACAAATTTCAAAAAAAACAAGGCAAATCAGTCGTTGACCCTTCTGGGGGCGGCGAGACAGCCGGCATCCTTGTTCTTGATAACGATTAAAATTTAGGCTGTCGCGCGTCGAAAAGTGCAGCAGGGTAGGGCGGCGTGGCGAACAGCAGGAGCAGAGGTCCTGAAAAAAAACCGACGGACCAGAAGGGAATAGACACCGCCTAATTTCGTGTTTTGGGTTTTGTTCGAAGGCCGCTGCCTTCCAGACCCCATACTTAGAAGATCCCGAGGCAGAAAAAAATGCCTCCAACACTCGTGTCAAAAATTCCCGCCTCACGTCGGAATTTATGACTCTGAAAGGTGAAAAAAGACTCCAATGGGGACAAAACTGTTCAGGGTCTGCCTAGGTTTTCCTTGAGGATCTACCTCCCCTCTTCCGGAGTTGGGCAAGCAAAAGTATGCTAACGTATGACTGTGTAACTTGGGGGTTCCTGAAGTCTTTCAGCTGTCTTGGAAATTCCTCCGGTAGTTGGATCGGATTTCCCCCATATGGCCGCTGTCTCTTGCTGTTCCGTTTCTAAATTCAGAGACTTGGCGGGGATTCTGCAGGAGGAACTTTGTTCTTCCCAAATCCCCTAAGGAAAACAGGGTTGGGAGCACATGCCGGCACCTTTTTAGAAGACAATTGCTAGATCAGCTCGGCAAGAGGTTTCTGGGTCCAACTAGTGGACGTGAAGCGTGGTCGCAATTCCAAAAGGAAAAAACGATTCCAAAAGCGAAATAATGCCTCCAATTTGGACATAATGACTCTGAGAGGGAGGAAGTGATTCTGCCCCTTCGAGGCACAAATTTCTGCCGCAAGGAGTTTCTAGGTATACCGTCACTACGTTTGCAGTAGTCGGTTCGGCCACTGCCTCCGGCTGGCCTTCGTAAACCACATGTTGGTGAGAATTTTGAAAAGAATACGCCCCAAAAATCGACCCAAAGAATGCTGGGCAGCAAACAAACATATTGTGTCAACCAAACATAATAATTGTCATGTTTGATCTCACAAAACACCTTCCACAAGCAGCAACACACAAAGACCATCCACATTTCGCATGATACCTGGCTATGCTACCTTTTCTAGGAATCGAAAAAGTTGCTGACACGGCCTCGGGTAGTTTCATGATAGTTCCACCCGGATTTGGACATCATTCTAAGTTCGTCTTGGCGGGCGTTAATCTACTGACACGCGCACGCGCGCGCAATCCAGCAAATGTTGTTTTTTTGTTGTCACCTCATTCCAAGGATTTTGGCAATTTTGTGCGTGTCTTGTGCCTTTCAAAGTGTTGCGGCGAGAAGATCGAGAACTTTCGATATCCCGGCAGTTTCCAAGTGGCCATTATAAGTTTCAATCCGCAGCTATAATATGCAATGGTTTGTGTCTGGACGTCGCGATTCCATCACACGGCCACTGGTGACACACTGGCACAATCAATTGCGGTGAAATCAAATTGGTCGAATTCAAATCTGCAACTGCAATGGTGCACCGCAACGTGCGTTTTTCTGCAAATGGTAAACGTCCAACCAAGAAAATACATTGGAACAGCCAGCGCAAGTGCTGCCACCTACTGTTGGTACCAGATGTTCTGAAAGATCTGGCCCGCGAAAATGGTCTTGAAGTACATCCACTGGACGTCGTATGGGTTGGTTTCGCCGCTCGTAAACAACGCTCTGGGCAGTGGCGCATTGTGTATTTTTTGGATGGCCTGCAGACGGTTTACTGTTTTGCCAATCAGTGGGGGTGGATGATTGTTTGTCTAGCAAGTGTAGGCGAACATCCTTTAACTTACCCAAGGTATGCAAATATTGGTTTTGGTGACGTGTTGAAATGCAAGCGTTTGGAAGACCAATGAAAAAGGTTGTAGTCTTTTTGTTTCCAGCTACGTGAATCGGAAATTTGTGCGCAACGTGCCTGTGCTTCCAGGACTCGCTCAGAAACAGGACTTGCAATCTGCACAGATTTCTGTTTCCATTCGGACTTCTATCAGCGACACAGCGCAAGATATCCTCCGGCATTCAACCTTGTCAAATAGCAACGTTTTGCCAAATGCTGTCTGACACTTTTTTGTTCGATACATTCCGACACGTTGTTTCGCATATCTTCGAACATGTTGTTTCACATTTTTGACACGCTGTCTCCGAATTGTAGTTTCTTCATGTTTCTTCGTGCCAGGTCTTGTGACACTTTTGATTTAACATCCAGGCATATTTTGACATTTGGACGTTTGGAACAATTGCACGTTTGAAGTCCAGCGCAGGAAGGACTTGTGTTTCACATAACCGGCGGAATTCTATCCACATGTCAGTTTGTCGCTCGCCAATGCATAGTCATGGTTTGTGCGATTGTGTGTTCCGGTTTGGAAGACATGCCTTACTTTGTTGTGCGCAAAAAAGGTGGTACCCTTCCAATGGTTTCTGACCGCTCTTTGGTGCAAACAACGTGACTACAGTAGCACTTGTTGTATTTTAGATGCGTTGTTTCTGACTCTGTCGTGCATTTTTCAATGCTGTTTGAAATCATGCTCTGCTCAAAATGCCATGGAAAGATATGGAAAGAAGATAGACATAGATAGACTGTGATGCAAATGGCAGTTTGGCATCAGAGTGAAAATATGTCGCCCGTGGCCTCTGTTGCAAAAATGTGAGTGCCGCCAACAAAAAGAGGCAGCCTTTCCTAGCCCTAGCCACGTAATTTTTCCAGGATTGTTTAGCCACATTTTTTTTTTTTCTTAGCCACGAAACCAAACTTAGCCAGGAAAACCCTTTAGCCACGAAATGTCACAAAATGCTTGGTTTGCTCCTGTTCCCTTTGTTCTTATTACATTTTTGGGGATTCCTTTAGTGTTCCTCTTCCTTTTGTTGTTGTTACAGCCTTTTTCATTTGATTTTAACGGGAAGCCGTTAGAAACCTTCATTAATCTTACCGGCGACGCCCGAAGATCTGGGACTGCGAGGAGGGACCAGAAAAGGGCAACTTCGAAGCCGCGAGTGTGAAATTTCGACTTCACGTAGCCGCGTTTCACGGACGAAATTGTTCCAACATGTTCCAAAATTTTGTGGGAAATCAGACCGGGTTGAAACATTGGATTCAAGATTGAGTTTGGAGCATCCTGGCATTGGAAACTTTTTACTCCCAGCTGTGGTCAGGTGTTGTTCATTGTGCGTGGCAACTGCGCAATTTAGTCAACAAGAATACAATCGGGTCCTTTTTCGTTGTTGAACCTTTTATTGGGAGGGGGGTGTGCCAACATACAACTCCTGAGGGGTTCTTCATTTCAGGCAAAACGGCTCTTGTTTCTTCCAATTCTCGGTCACTATCCTGAAAGGTTCCTGAAAGTACTGCGCGCGGATTGGTAAATGGTTCCGGTGCCAAAGATGAGTATGTGTGCTTTGACTTTGGTTCGCTCAAAGTAAGGGCTGGAGTTGCGTATTTGCAGTGTGTGTGTGTGTGCGTCGCATCATGGGCCGATATTTCGAAGACTTGTTTGCAGGCACTACGAGCGCTCGAAGTAACGTTTCAATCGTCCCAACTACCGGTCGCAGCTCCATTGCAACGGTGGGTCCTTTTGTGGCTAACCTACGTCCGTTTTAAATCGTTTTGAAGAGTAAGACCAGCCATTGGACTTGCACTTCCACCACAAGCAAGTCCAGTGATCCAGATTGCGGCACCATAGGACTCTCTTGTGCGGGCCCCACTGAATGGGTGAGGCTGGGGTACCGCTTGCAGGTTCGAGGCATGAAAATACCAGCGCGCCAAACGATCTAAAAGAACCCTCCATATCGGGATGACGCCGACAGTGAAGGAGCACAGATCATATAACCGAATATAACCTGTTCGATTTCTCTCAGCAAAGCTGTGTTGGAAAGTGCGACGGAGAAAGAGCGACTCCTTGAGTTGATTCGTAGTCTTTTCTGAAATGTTCTAAATCCAACTGCGCCTTCAACAGTGTGACATCACCCAACTTGCACATAGACGAATTGCCTGATGTCGCTTCCTCTCACTTCCTCCTTGCGCAATATTTGCCGTTCATTGCTGAGCTGCAAAGCCCACCCCCAGGTTGCCTTTCAGGTTCCTGTTTTGCATATAGGCAAAATGATGCAAAATGTACAGCAAGACATCTAGTTTGTTGTGTGCGCTGTTTGTGCGAACCCGGTCTTGCGCTCTTGGCCAGCTACAAGTTCTACAAGTTCTACAAGTGGCTCGCCTTGCACGGAGGTGTTGTCTTAAGTCTTCAGGGGCACAATACTCGCTCTCGCTGGATCTCGCTGGAATCTGGTCAAATCTGATCCCCGTCCTTGATAGATAGCCTGCGCCACTTCTGCAAGCCGGGGGTTGACCTTTGTCAAAGTCAGAGTCAAAGTTCAAGGATTTCTAAAATCTCCGTGCACCGTGTGGTGACTTTGCTGCATCAAGAGAGCTTGGCGCCCTGCCATATGCCCTGCCGCCAAGATCTCTTGAAGCTTCACCTCAGGCTGTGGAAGTTGAGAAGGTTGAAACGGAGCTGCAATAAACCAGGGTACCTGCAGTTGGATCTCGAAGTAAAGACTTCATGCAGAACTAGTTCGTCCCTTATCCTTTGCATTCCTTTGCTATCCTTTGATTGCCATGGAGTATGTTACTCGGCTATCCATTGCGCCAAGATCTGCCAAGTATCTACGGGACTTGGATACCATTCAGAAAGCAGAACAGATGTCCAGCCACTTGCCTACAGCATCTACAACAAGAGACGAATCGAAATCGAGGACGTCTGTCTGCAAACATGTTTTGCTCGATCAAACTCACAGCCTCCGAGTCATTCCGTTGCAGAATTTGCAGCGGCGACAGCAACTTTGCAGACAGACTACCTCTCCAGAGATCGCTTCGCAAATATATATAGCATCTCAGAGGTTCGCATACAACTGTGCTTCCGAGTCATCCAAAAGACATCAAAAGACTAAGACAACTATCCTGGTTTATACCCTGTTGTTTGTGATTCAAATGTCAAGCAAATTTTCCTTTAAAATACCAAAGATCTGGTCGCAAGATTTCAAAAGATCAATTACACCCAATTTGGGCCTTTGCCGGACAGGATTCTGCTCAACTCCTGCTGCTGCACGCCAAAGAAGCAGAAAAAAAAATGTAGAATTCGGAAAATAACACATGCCGTCACATGCCGAACAAGTGGAATGATTTGGGGTTTATCATTGTATATCCCAATCTCTCATGATGAGGCAACAAGTCCAACAATTCACTAGAAAATCTGGAAAATACGATAGAAGTGGAAGGAAGTGGTGGCAGAGGTTTGCTTCACTCAATACAACAAGAACATATATGGGCAGCCAATGGCAAACATATTACAATAAGAGTCGAATGATCGCTCCTCGTGGGTGGTACCGGCCTCATCTACCCCACTGTAGGCCTCTGGTGTCCCAACTCAAGGCCAAGGCGTGCGAGCTCAAACAGTTTGTCAAGCAGTTTGTCAAACAAAACGAAACAAACGAAACAAACCCAGCTACTACTTGATTCACTTGTGCAATCCATGAACCAAGGATGAACTGGTGGAACTGGTGGCAAGTCACAGGCAAATCTGGCAACCATGGAAGTCCCAATGAAAGACTTTGGAGCTGAAGTACCTGGAGGCTAAGTCCATGAAGATTGTGGGAGATCATAATTTCTGTGTGCGATTTTCTGGTCAAGTCTCATCAAGCGTCTCTCGTCGTTGTTGTCAGTCCGCCAGTTTGAACGTGTCAAAAAATGTTGATATGGAGCCGTTGCTTCCCCTGGCTACATTTGCAATTTTGATGGACTTTGAAGAAACAAACTGCATCGCCCGGCATCCACTTATTTTGCCAAACGAGTTGGAATGTCGGTGCGTAGCACAGCTTCCATCCATGATGCGCAGGATGCGTGCTGGGCCAAACAAAACTGCATCAGGTGGTGCCTTCTACATGATTATTCCTGACAGGTCCTGACAATTGAAATTAAATTGGAACATAGGGAACCAACATGAGGTAACACTCCCGAGAGATCTTTGCTATCTTCTGGCACCCCTGAGTTTCAGTGGAAGATCCAGCAACCTACCAGGAACTAAAGCAACTTTTTGGTAAGTTGAGTTGTACACGTTGATTCAAAAAAGGCTTTGCACAAGAGATCAAAAGATGCACTTCTAGTCTGCCTCAGCTCTGTGTGGCAAAGACAAAGGAGGTATTCAAATAAAGGGAGACACCTTCCTGACGACACCGCGTCCCTGGGTCCAGTGGTAGAAGGTGGTGTAGCCAAGATGGAATGGCAGCCACGCGCATTGAAGGACTTTGCCCAGCAACTTGTGCGCATCAATGGACTGCTTGGCCAATCGGTCGTTCCTCTTGTCATCCTCTGCATTGCCAGTCTTGTCCGAACCTGGTGCCCACTTCAAGAAGTACTCGTTGGCAATGCCAGACACTGGCAAGAGAAGAGCAAGCACATAGAAGGCACGAAGACTCTGAGTCTCCAACATCTGGATCATGGGATGTCCAGGGAATCGTGGCGGAATTCCGCTCTTCATTCGGAGGAAGAAACGAACCACCAAAGCAAAGAGCATGGCAAGACCAGTCTGCTTGTGCCACCACAGCATCTGCTTGCGGGTCTGTCCTTCAGAGTATGAGGCCGCCTGAGCAGTTCCAACAGCACCGAAGATACCAACGGCCATGATGAGATGCAAATGGCGCAAGGCTCGGCTGTAGGTGAACTGTGACAGGGGCTTGGTGTTCTGCAAGGTCTTGTAGATGTACCATCCCACTGCTGCAACGGCCACGTCGGTGACTTTGTACTTCATGTATCGGCCCACTTCAGATATCTCCTCGCCCACAACTTGGGCTACTGTGGCTTCAGCAGACCAATCCGTGTTCTCACCCGGCACCAACTGACCAACCAACATGTCCCGATCACGTTGAACACGTGCTTTCTCTGAGTGCTCGAAGACTTCAAAGTCCTTGGTGGCATCGGTACCTGCCTTGGTCAACAGAATGTCATCACCTCCTGGATGACTTCCGATCAAAGGCTTCAGATTGTAGACACGGTTGTGAATGATCATGTAGGGCTCGTCGGCTGTGGTGTGCTTGGCCACTTCTGCACGAGTGAAGAAAGGCAGCTCCTTTCCGGCAGAGATCTCCGCCAACTTGGGGAAACGTGACTCCTCGGACAGTGTCGGTGCATCGGTCTTGCCTGGCACCTTCACAGCAGTCTTGGCAGCCTCGATGTCCTCCTTGGATGGACCCTCAAGCCTACGCAACTCATCGTGAAGTTGCTTCAGCTGTTCCATCGCAGGATCCTTTGGTGGCTCGGTGCCAACATCGCCCATCTTCCATTCCGAGCGCATGAAGAAATCCATCCACTGCTTGCTGGGAAAGCGACCTGGGATCTTGTCATACATAGGACTTGCATCTCTGCCCGCCCAAGCAAGGATGGAATTGCGCTGTTCAGGATGATGAAGCAAAAAATCGGTCAGGTCATACACGGTCTTGTTGATGGCAATCCAGCAGTCATGTGGCTTGTTGTGTCGTGCCACCTCCGACAAAGGGATTCCGCCGCTGACGTTGGGAATGTCCAGCGGCACGTCGTGCAAGTGCGCATGAGCCTTGGTAGGTGGTCCAGTATGGCGGCAACTTGCCACAAGATGACAAGGAGCAAGAGGGAGAGGGAGAGGGAGAGGGAGAGGGAGAGAGAGGGGAAGCTGGTCGAAAAGAAACTTCCAAGAGTCAAAAAGATCATTCCAGATTCTGGCTTCATCGGAAGTCTTGACAATTTAATCTTGACAAATAAGGACTCTGCCTGGTCAGCCAGGATCCTCTCAATCTCCTTCTTCACATCCATAGCTTTGGCGTAGTCCTTTCAACCACAGGTGACAGACCAAAACGTTCCAAATGAAGTTGGAAGAAAAAGTTGGCAGGGAAAAGTGCTACGAGTGGAAAATAGGCGAAATAGGGCGTGATTTGGAATCTGCAAGCGTTAATGGAACAGCTGTGCCAACTGTTTTCTGATTCCTATCCCTGCTACAAAGATACGCGAAACAATCTACAAACATCTGGCCCCCGAAACACCCCTGAAATGAATCAAACATCATCAATCTGTGCATGAGTCGAGGCTGGAGACCACGTGACATGGACCACTACAAGACTCTGCCCATGCCATGTCGACGGAATATGACCGGCCTCGGAATCCAAAGCTGCTCGCTTCTGAGTCTCGAGACGCTGCAGTTTGGTTTTCAGCTGAGGATCTGTGTTCCTGATTCCGCAGAAGGCACGGCAAGACATGGCAAGACGTGGCACAGCAAATGGCAAAACAACCATACCATCACGATAAATCAAAAGGCAAATCAAAATGACATCAGAATCATTCAAAATCCCTTTTTGTGCATGTAATGGATCAGATGATCAGTCTATTCAAAATCCACCGTATGGCAGAAGGGTGAGAAAAGCTGAGAGAAAAAAGGAGAAAAGCATAAAAGAGCTAGCTGCATTTGCCATAGGAAACAAGAAATCACATGAAATCAGCCAACTCTGTCAAGCTGCTTGTCTTGCAGAAGACGAGGGATGCTGTCTGCCTTGTGGGAGTTGTCTGCTGTTTGGCTGAGCACCCGGTCAATCTCTTCACGAACTTCGACAATTCGTGCCTGCCAGGGCACAGAAAAAATGGTGCCGAAGTTAAAAAAAACATAGAAATCGTCGGTTTTTCCTTTTTCCCCTTCCTTCTTCCGAGTTCCTTTCTATGAGCAGTCATTGAAAGTAGCTGGAGAAAAAATAAGGGTTGCATCAAAGCGTTCACCACGTTCTGCTTTCCCATCCGTAAAATGCCTCCCTCAGAGTGTGCCAGAACTCCTCGGACATCAGGCTCTCATCCACACCAAGGTCACCCAAGTAGGACTCCGGGCGCAAGTAGGAATCAATCCTTGGCGTGTCCCTCTGGATGTTCCATGGTGCTCTCCATCAAGTTGGGAAACTTGCGTTTGAAGAATCTTGATTATTGACATATTTGACATGTATTCAACCTGCAGCGTGTTTATCCTATGTTTCTTCAAGGTTAATACAAATTAGATAAATGTCTTAAACCCGCGATCCCTAGAAAGTTTCCCTTCTTCCTCCCTTTTCCTCCCTTTTCCTTCCTTTTCCTCCCTTTTCCTCCTCTGACTCTTTCTCTGATAGCTAAACATTCTAGGAAACCGGTTAGGTCAAATGGACTGGATGCCTCCAGCCATTTCTACTTGCACTTGGTATTCGCAATTCTTCTTCTGTTAATTCCATTTTGGATGCACAAGCAAAATCTTTGGCCATGTGATCAGCTCTGAGCTTTCCTAACTCCCTTTGTACCTCAAGGAGGCCTGCACTTCGTTTTACTTCTAGACTTCTACGTCGTTTTACTTCTAGACTTCTAGAGATGCAGAGTTTCTAAATGTGTCTAAACAAGACAGCTTGATGGCATGTTTTTTCGACAGGGTTAGTAGTCGTAACTTCCCTACCTCATTTACAAGAACTCGACACTTCTCAAGTTGGGGCATCTGATGTCGGAAAGCCATGGCTCTTGACGCCCTTGTGAATCTCGTTGAAAAACTTTGAGGCATCCTTGCCGGCCCAGGCCAGGATGGTGGTGGGGCCCCCTGGATGTCGGTCCATGAACTCGGACAAGTCGTAGACCTAATAATCATCGTTGAGAGCGTGCCACTGCAGAGAACAAATGGCACGACACCTGGGCGGGCTACAGGCCCCGGAAGTTCAGGTCCCGAGGTCGTGCATCCCAAATGCGCACTGTTTGCTGGGCCATGGCCTCTAGGATGGCAGCATCATGTTCATGTAAACTTGGCCATCCATATCTGGCCTGCAACTCATCGCCTGGGCGATCGAAGGTGCAGGTCCGATGCTGACATGTCCAAAAAGCATGCTCCCAATTGGACTCAGCGCCGCAGTCGGCACACAAGGCTGCGTCCTCAGACTGGACACGCTTAGAGTAATCCAAGGGGCTGATCACTGCCCCGAGCATGAGCCATCTAGCTGGCCCTTTGGCTTCATAAATGGCTTTTCGAACTGCTTCGAAACGATAACTATTGTATTCGATGTTTCGATAGTTTTCAGCTTCATGTCTTCTTTCGCTGGAAACAAACTGATCCCAAGTGTGGCTGCGCCAGCTTTCGCGCAGCTGGTGTGCAATCTCACCCGAAGTTGCTTCAGGTTTCAAAGGGCTGATGACATACTGCAGTGTGCGATGGCCAAAACGGCGACCTGGCAAAACACACCAGTCATGTTCAACCAACCAGTCAATGGCAACCCTTTCGGAAGGCAAAAAGTCTTGTGGCTGACTCGAACGTCGGCCTGCACGACGTAACATTCGAAGTACCTGGTGAATACCCATCTGAGCAGCGAGGGTGGGACCCAGCAAAAGTTTCTTATGCCAGTGTCCAGCCCACGTAGGTTCATGGCAAGCTCGCCATGTGACTTGATCGAAAGCTTCCATGTCCGCTTTTGGAGGCTTGCGGCCAATCCAGCCGTAAGTGGCACAGGGTCGTGCCAAGCTACGGATGGCCTTGTACTTGTCTGATCGGGTCAGAGGCAAGAAACCGATTCTGCGTGCACGATGGATTGCTGTGGCCAATCGCTGTGCTTCTTTAGCTGAGTTTTTCCGTTTTCGTTTGGAGACCATGGTGGTGCCCAAAAGATTGAGATGCTCAACCACAATTGTTGGATCAGGACTTTGTTGCTGCAAAGTCTCGAAATTTTTGGGATGAACTGCTGAGATCTGGGTTTTTTGGTGGTTTTCAATTAAGCCAATTTGCCCGGACCAGTTCTGCCAGGCCGTCATGATGGCCAAACACTTTTCCGGAGTTGAGGAGATCCAAGACCTGTCATCCATGAAGATAAAATGTTTATCCGTTCCTGGCGTGTCAAGTGTCTGTGTCTTGACAAAAGCTAATCCTGCGTGGAGCAGGGTAGCGAGTGCGAGTGGGCTCATTGCATCTCCCTGTGGGAGACCGTGACTGCTATGCAGTGGGATTGGGTCGGTGTGATCTGTCCATTGGATATAGCGAGTTTGGGATCTCCACACACTGTTCAAAACTTGGCACAGTTGACAAGGAAGGCCAAGATGCTGCATGACACGGGTGGCCAATCTTGGGTCCACGCAGTCAAAGCACAAGCTGTAGTCGAGGCATCCACTGAAACCATGTTCGTGAAAATCATCCAGGGCATCAGCTGCGAGATCTTCGCAGCCGGGCTGGCCCGCACCCCCTCCTATTGCTGTGTCCAAAGTGGCTTGTCGCCAGCTTCGCAGCACTGTGGATCGTGCCCATGCACTGGTGTACAGGCGCCAGAAACATGAGTAAATGCTGATGGGTCGAAGTTGTGAAATGGGGATTTCATTATTGACTGCCTTACCAGGTTTCGGTAAATTTATCTGACGGATAGCTTTCAGGATTTTTGGGGCCGTGCCCGCGGCCTCCCAACGGGCCGTGATGTCCCAAAAAGTTATCCAAGTTTCAAATGGCAAATGCTTCAATTCCTGCGAGAACCACTTATCGGCACCTGCTGCGCCTTGCATGTGACTGGCTAGTTCAATGACCGATTGAACTGGTGGCCTTTCAGTCACCACAAGTTGCGGTTCTGCAGGCAGATGGTTTTGCAACAAGGACCACTGCTCTTCCCCACTGAGTGGGCTCAGGCTTTTAGCCTTATTCCAAACGGAAGTCCAATGAGTTTTGACTGCTGAGCAAACTTCTGATTTGCTATGCAAACGGCTGCCGTCTGTGGTGACAAACGGTCGAGCGACTTGAGCGGGTCGTTTGATCCACTCATTTCGATTTTGTTCATTACTTTTCATTTTTGATCGCCATGCATTGATACGTCGCAAATGTGCATCATGGCGGGTCTGTTCTTCGATTTGTTGGATTTCAGTGATGCGATCTCGGAGATATGTCAAATCACTGGATCCAAGTTTGCGGGCCAAAGCATCGCCCTCCTGTGTGGCGAGAAAGTTTGGGTTTTGTTCGGATTTCCGAAGAAATGTTGTGGCTCTGCCCACAAAGTTGCATCTTTTCCGACTGGCCATCGAGAAGAGGCAGGAGCGTCTGCGGACTGGAATTCTTTTCAGTGTGATTTCGGATCTTTTTCGTAAATGTGTTTCTGTCTCAGGTTCGAAATTTTGGTACGCCTCGTGGAAGAGGCTGTCTAGAAATTCAACAAAATGTTTCCATTCAAAATCCACATCAATTTCTGGTTGGTTGATGTGGTGCTTGAGGCTGCTGTCTGGGAATTTTTTTCTCCAGATATCTTGTAGCAAAGTCTGCCAGGCGGTGCTATCAGCGGGTGCTGGCTTTTGCCAAAGGGCTTGGCTTTCGAAGATGGTGCGTGTTGCTTCTGAAGACCATTCGTGTTGAAGCGAGATCTGCATGGGTATGTGATCGCTAAGCTTACTGGTCAGAAGGTCCACATCACTGGCCTGGGCCCAGTTGTTGCAATAGACATGATCGATTGTTTTGCGACCTTGCCATCGCGTGGGTTTGTCGTTCAAGGATTCTGCAGGTGACCCTTGGAACATTGCGGCCACATCGACAAAAATGCTATTTTTTAGATCAGAGTTAAAATCCCCAACCCATACCCAATTTTGTCGAGCCAAATCATAAACTTGGAAAAGTTCGGTGAGATCTTGGGCCACGATACTTGTCTGTTCACCAGCACGTGGTGGGTTATAGGTATTTATTACGGTCCAAGTGCCAACTTGGACTGCGAGAGTCTGGAAAGAATCACATTGCGTAGGCAGGCTGGCAAAAATCTGTTTATGAGGCAAAAATTTGGCAACTGCGGTCAAAACCCCATGGCGGGGAATGAGGGCGCCCGTGACCGTCTTAGTGACGGCACCCGGGACATAATATGCGGCATAACCCAGGTTATGGAGTCGCGTTTCAACGGCTGCGAATTCTTTGATTGTCAAGCTTGCTTCTTGCAGTGCGAGCACCTCACAGGGTGTTTTTGCACCTGCGATAAAGACGTCAATAGCCGTCCAAACTTTGGGGGCACCCCCCGTGTTTAGAGAGACCATTGTGAAATCCTTGTTTTGCTTCCACTTAATTTTACTGTCAAAATAGTGTTTTTTCGGACTACTGCTGGTCGGAGATGATGGACCAGGGTGCGGCTCGATGCCCTGTTCCAGCAGCCTGGAGAATTTCGCATCCATGTATTCTTTGGATTTGTTCCAAGCTTTACACAGCAACGCTTGGTTGGTTGGACTGACTTCCAACTGTTTCCAAATTCTGGCTGCATGCTTTTGCATACCCTGGTTGCTCAGGCGTTTTTTGCACGGCTGGCTCATCCATCTTTTTGGCTTGTATTCGTGAAACCAGAAACAATTTTGGCAGGTGACCTTTTCCCGATGCGCAGTCTTTGTGCTGTCATGGGGGTTGTTGAAAATCACAGGCCAAGTGGCTGCATCAAAAGTGATGGGAACGAGTTTGTGACCACCGATGGTCATATCTCGTGAGGCGTGGAGCTTGGCCTTCACGTTGGCGGATCTCTTTTGGTATCCTTTCACGAATTGTGGCAAAGGTGAGTTTTTATGCTTTTTGGCATAAGCTTCTCCAATCTTTTTGCGTGTGACATTTCTTTTCTTATGCACCGTTCTGTAGTGGTGCAATACTGACTTGTCACGTAGAGCCTTATGAAGCTTTGGCAAAAAGGCGTGTTTGCTGTCTGGACAGAAAGGACATGTCCAGTCCCTTTCGGCTTCTGGCAGCCATGTGGTTTCAACTGCTTCAACCTTCTTTCTGATGGTGGCTCTTTGGGCAGCTGGAATGCTGCTGTGCCGGAGATTCATGTGGTTGCTTCGGCGCCACACAAGCTGTCGTTTGTGTTCAGCTGAAATCACCAAGGTACAGTGAGGGCAGGTCCAGTCAAGACCTTTTGGTGGAGGCATGTCTGATAGGGATTCAGCGGGTTGTTTTTGCGTCGATTTTTCCTGCATCTTTGGTCTGGCACTGGATTGCGAGGCTGGAGTTTGCTGACCCCACCTGTTGCTGGTTCGAGAGTATGGTGTTGCAAGGCCCCATCGTGGTGATGAGGCCGGAGTTTTTTGGCCCCATCGAGGGGTGCTGGCACAATCACTATGTTTGCGTTTCGCATTGGGAGTGGATAGAGACTGGTCTGCTCCTCCAATGCACGGAAATTCGTCGTGACTTTCACGCAGCCATGGTCCAGGTATGGCTTTGTTATCTTTTGGTGGCAGCAATGCTTTGTAGTGTCGATTTCGAAGGACCAACACTACACCTGGGTGTTCGATCTTTGCGACTGCGAAGCCATCGATGATCTTGGGACCGTAAACACTGCGGAACCATGTCTTCACTGGTTCCTTTCCGTCAGGTGATTGCCTTTCTTCGAGAGACCAAATCACTATCGGAATGCCAGTTCGGCTCGCAACGGCTTGGATCAAGAAATGATTGGCCCAATATGTGCGTTGTGACGCTTGGTCCAAAAAGTCTTGAAAGTTCTTTGGAGGTGGGAGTCCTGCTCGCTGGTATTGCTTCTCAACAAAGTCGTGTGCGTAGTACGATTCGTACTCGGCTCTGTGAGTTTTGATGTGTTTGACCGCCTGCACTCGAAGGTATCAGAGAGTGCACTTTTTCGGGTGTATCCGTTTTATTCCTGGCATATGCGTCACTGGTGACAAAAGCTTTGAAAAAACAGTCGCCATCACCACCAGCATCTTTTTCACTCCATCCATGGAGTTTTGCTTGTTGAACATTTTCTGGGAAACTGCCTTTGGCTGTATCATATGCAAGATCAGTTTCACCGGGAGCTTCTCGTTTCTTATCTTTCTGTGTCTCCTCTTCATCTACGTCAAGTGCTGTAGCGGCCACTTCTACAGCCTCTGTAGCAGGAGAGAAGGTAGATTGCGGAACTTCTGCGACTTTTTGCTTCTTTGTTCTCTGTTCGGACTGAGTTTCATCTGGTTTTCCGTCCTTGTCTTCTGGAGGTTTTCCATTCTTTCCCCATTGTTTCTTGGGCGCTGGGATGTATTCCCAGGCTTTGGCTGTACTGCGCCTTGGTGCGGCACAAGTATTGATCAACATGGTATATTGGGAGTCTTCATAAATGATCATGTCGTCGCTTTTGTCTGGCGAATGAGCGGTCAAGAACCAAGTGGCTTTGTGCTTTCCCGCTTTTCTGCGATGAGCAATGCGAACTTCGGTCCATTTCTGCTTTTCGAGAAATGAGCAAAGATCGGCTTCGTCCCATGTGCTTGGGGCGCCTTGAAGTTTCCAATGGCGGCGCACTGGTGCGTCGGCCTCGGAGTCTTGGTCGACCCCTAAGTCATTGCCACCACCGGCTCTGAAGCGGATGGCTTTCTTGGAGGCTTGCTGTTGAGCTCGTCTGAAATATGTTTCATCCGATTCTTGCTTTTCACGTGTGAACCACGAAACTTTTTTCTGGTTGGTTCTATCTCCTGTCTTGGTAAAGAAAATGGCATGTCGACCGCTGTTTTCAAGCAGAAGATTTGCATGGGCTTCTTTGAGACGGAGATGCCCAACGAGTTGGATGCCCTTTTTTGTCCATTGTCGGACCCAGCTGCCACCAGTGAGCTGGCTAGGAGTGATTCCCAGCTGCCACTGGTGGATGCAAGCGATCAGCTTGCTTGGATTGTCTCCTTTGTTGTCGGAAAAATGGATTGCACGATAACATTCTGGTGCAGTGATTCTGACGGTGACTTTGGTTGAGATGTCACTCGTGGCAATTGCCGCCTGTGTTGGCGGTTTTGGCATTGGCCCTTCATTCCACGTTTCACAGGTGATCTGTGTTGGTGTGAAATGGCCTTTTTCCGAAGTCTTTGCTCTCACCCAGGCTGTTTTCTGGGTATCAGAAGTGATATATCGTCCTCGCCACAGCAAAGTGACAGGAGTTTTTATCTCAAAGGCGCTCAGCATGTCCTTGATATCCTCATACTGCTGCCAATCGACTTCAATGAGGTTGCCGGGAGATGCTTGGCCGTTGCGTATGGCTGTCTGGCAAGCTTCAAAGGTGCTGACAATGGGAGCAACTGTCCATTCACTGGTCACGAAACCTCTGATCTGGGCTGCGTTGGTGCGCTTTTGGTCGGCAGCAGCTGTATCAGAAGTGACCTTTCTGTGTTTCTGAGGTTCCCACTGCACCTGTGCCGCTTTGTCTTTGGGAGGTGCTTTTTGATCCTCCCACTGTCCATCCCACTGTTTTGCTGTAGTTTGTGAACTTTCTGTCCAACTCTGGTGTTTTTTGTTCTTTTCAACCTGCTGCGCCTGTGGAACCTGCGCTGGAGGTTTGGCGCTTGTTTCGTCTTTCATGATCTTATTGAGGGAGCTCTCAAAGGCATCTTCGGCGATGATGCCGGCTTTGATCATCAGGATTAAAGCATCGATTTTTTCATATAAAGTGGCAGGCTTGTCATCGTCTGTACCAAAGGTCTGTCTTTTACGTCTGGTGACATGCGATCCTGCCGCTCCACCTAGGAGCATGGTCCTCCAAGGTGGTGTATTGCTGCGGACAGGCTGGCTGTCCGTTTGGGCAACTTGACTTGATTGTTCAGACGCTTTTCGCTGCTTTTTTGAAAAAAGGGTTTTTTCCAAGACAAAGCAACTACCAAGAGTGTTGGGACTTTGAGGCCGGGCCCAAAGGGGAAACGGCACCCTCTGTCCTGCTTGTACTTTCCTACGCAAAAGACTCATGAACCGTTTCTGTCTTGCAAAGCGGCGTCTTCTGCGGCGTTGGCTTTTTCTTTGGCGACCCACCAAGCGGGATCTGGCGACTATCTTTTTTTTACTGCTGGAAAAGTAGGTGTCGTGCTTTTCCGTTTTTGAATTAATTTTCTACGGTTTTTGACTAGGAGTTTTTTCTTGTGGTAAGGACCACAACAAAGAAAACTCGAAAGGTAAACGAAAATCACAAATGCCAATCTGTGGAGTTCTTTACCATTGTCTGTGTGCTCTGCTGTATCATGAGACCAAGTTTGTGGCTTAGGCACATTCTTGGCATTGCGCTTGCCAAACGGCACTGCTAAGTTTGCAACTGCAAAAGGTGAAATCACATCGTGAAACAACTCTGCATTCAGGTTTGTCACTCTGGCACTAAAGTTATCACACAACATCAGTGCATCACTAACGCAAAGTGTCGGACTTGCACACAGCAAGTCGTGGTCTGAATTAACTAAGCTTGCACATGCTTCACTGGTCAAAAGGCATGAAGAGAAGACAATGCATTGGATCAAACAATGCAGAGACTGCCACCTGCTGTTCGTACCTACCGCTGGTCTTCTCTTGAGACCTCTAGGGCAGGCCCCCGAAGACAACCTGCAGCGTGTTTATCCTATGTTTCTTCAAGGTTAATACAAATTAGATAAATGTCTTAAACCCGCGATCCCTAGAAAGTTTCCCTTCTTCCTCCCTTTTCCTTCCTTTTCCTCCCTTTTCCTCCCTTTTCCTCCTCTGACTCTTTCTCTGATAGCTAAACATTCTAGGAAACCGGTTAGGTCAAATGGACTGGATGCCTCCAGCCATTTCTACTTGCACTTGGTATTCGCAATTCTTCTTCTGTTAATTCCATTTTGGATGCACAAGCAAAATCTTTGGCCATGTGATCAGCTCTGAGCTTTCCTAACTCCCTTTGTACCTCAAGGAGGCCTGCACTTCGTTTTACTTCTGGACTTCTACGTCGTTTTACTTCTAGACTTCTAGAGATGCAGAGTGTCTAAATGTGTCTAAACAAGACAGCTTGATGGCATGTTTTTTCGACAGGGTTAGTAGTCGTAACTTCCCTACCTCATTTACAAGAACTCGACACTTCTCAAGTTGGGGCATCTGATGTCGGAAAGCCATGGCTCTTGACGCCCTTGTGAATCTCGTTGAAAAACTTTGAGGCATCCTTGCCGGCCCAGGCCAGGATGGTGGTGGGGCCCCCTGGATGTCGGTCCATGAACTCGGACAAGTCGTAGACCTCACGGGGACGAGAAAATATGGGGATCAGATGATCAGATGATCAGACGGATCAAACGAAGGATCTGAGACATGCTTTGTCGATCTTTGTCGTTTGTCGCGTTGCGATGGTTGTGGCGGTTGCTGTGGCCAACTGAGCTCTAGCTAGCGACTCTAGCCCGAACACTGAGCACAAGAAATCAGACGCATCGAGCTTCATGAGACATGGAAACTCTAATCTCATGGCCTTGCCATTCAGAGCCACCCAACAGTCTTCCGGGATACAGTGTCGGTTCACCTGCCACGGCATGTCCCCAACTTCAGGTGAAAACTGAATATGTCATGAGACGATGGTGATTATGCACTGTTCATCATTTTTCTCATTATTCATGATCATCTTGAATCCTTCAATATCTTCAATGTCAAAAAATATGTCCTTGCTGCCTCCTGTTCATGTTCGTGTGGATTGCAGTCGAGTCATAATGTGTTCTTACCTTACCACTTTGTCAAAATCTGTCGACGTCCTCAGAAGCCTCAGCCCATCTTGGCACTCCAAGGACCAAAGATCCCGCAGCGCCTCCGACAGGGGAAGGTTCTTGGAGATCGCACCTGTTCCCCGAGCGCTGTGGAACTTCTCGCCCTGAAAGCCACGGGCGACCCGGGACCCGGACATCAAAAAAAAAGATTCAAAAATCCATCAATTCTCTAGGCTAGGCCGCTAGGCCGCTAGGCCGCTAGGCCGCTAGGCCGCTAGGCCGCTGGGGCATTGCATCGCTACTTCATCATTTTTGCTTACTCCACTATCTCCACTGGAATTTGGAGCCACAGTACGGCTCACAGGTTAGACACTCCAGAGAAAGCTGAAGGAAAACCAGCCGATAGCACGACATAGCATGACAAAAAAAGGGTTGTGGATAATAGGTTATACTGAGTTATACTCTGCGCCCAATGCGGGGCGTTGTGAATGATCTCTGGCCTCGTGATGCATCTTGCCGTCCTTGCACAGAGCTGTGAATGTCCGTTATGGCGATTGCAAATTCTTGCAGAGTTGAATGGTTTGCGGTCAAGGCCATTTTTTATGGCAAAATGGACAGCAGAATCACAGCTATTTGCAGTGCGGAAAGCGCCTGTATGGATGATGGATGCATGTCGTTGGGAACCATGGCTTGACACTGAGACCGGGCTCAGTCCAATCGCAACTCTTGCAACTCTTGCAACTCTTTCAAGCTCGAGCAGCGGGGCCAGCACAGATAGACTGATTCAAGGTAACACCGGCAAAGAAGGCCCACTTGGTAAGAGAAATAGATAGCAATAGTGGCTCCAATTGTTACCATCAGGACCCTTGTGACCTCTCATGTTTCCGTCCTGTTTCTGCGTTTCTGTCCTTCCAGTCCCTCGGAGCACCCAGGACTCGTCCACCGCTGTTTTCATGAGAAGATCTGGCAAGCTGCCAGAGTCAGTGGCACGTTCCACCTGCGCAGTTGACGTGTTCATTGACTGTCATGCTTTCAGCTCCCGGATCAATGAACCGAGAATGCGAACATCATTGGAAACAGAGATTTGCCATGATTTGCTATTCTTTGCCCATGTCACGTGTGACGCCAGACCTGTTCTTCCAACTCTGCGCTTTGGTCCGCCATGTTCTTTTCGTCGATCCAAATACTTTGCATCAAGGCTGTGATAGCCTTGTTCCATCATTTGAACTGCTGCGTGTGACGGTTTGCCTCCAATAAATCTAAGCTTTGCGGCTTCCTTTCAGAAGAGGTTTATTAGTCTAAGAGCATCTCTCTAAACCATGCGTTGGGGTCTGCCTCATTGTCTTCAACACTTCTCAGTTCTCGGCCTCTGCACTTTGGTGCAAAAGCACAGGATGTGGACGTCCTCTGAATCGACCTGGGCTTGTGAATTCAAGAGCTGTACCTGTCAGAGTGTGTCAGCTCATCTCCATCGCACTCTGACCTTTGCTACTTCTGAATACTTATGTTCCCTTATGATACTATTTCAATTCAAGCCCATCATGTACAACTGAAGTCTATCTTGCTTTCTTGCGCTTTCTTGGTTTCCGCATTTTTGACAAAGGGCTGAGGGCGGTACCGAAAAGGAAACCTCCAACTTCTCCAAGAACATCGTTCCATTTATCCTTGTGGTTTCGAAGCCTTAGAATCACAGGAAACCTCAAGCGTCTCTCACCATTTTCAGCGCCTCATCTTGAGCATGCTGAAACTGTTCTCAAAAGGTAAAAATGTTGAAAAGCTCTGGTGTGATTTGGTAGCAGCATGTCGCAACCACAATGAGCCCAAGGTTCCATTTGGACTGCTGTAGGCCCAAGACCTTCTCAAGAGCTTGAACAAGCCATGAGAAACACTGAAAAAGCCAGAGCGAAGTTGTCCGGTTGTCCGCCCTCTGTTGCAAATCACATGTTGTTCAGAACCTTTGCAGCGTGTAGAATTCTGAACCATGCTAGGGTAAGATCAAAAAGACAGAACGAACAAACCGTTCCATCTTAAAACTCTCAGCTTTCGACAAAACATTCCTTGAACATTATATATATATGTATATATATGCATTTTTTTCCCTCCTGGCCCATTGCTGCGCTGTGCTGCGGCCATTGCTGTGTCTTTGAATTCACTGATCTCAGCCTAGCCGGCAAAATCCTGGCCGATATGGGAACTATACATGGTCACTGTCAGTGATTCCCATAAGGCGATGTCATCCGGCTTCGGTTCTGATCCAGTCTTCGTCGGTGTCCTGTCGAGCTCCCGACGGAATGCTGATGCCAGTGCTCCGCACATGGCTGGCGGATACTCTTTGAGTACCCCTGTACGCCACTGGCCGTCGGCCGTAAGGCCTATAGAGGCTCCGTGTGGCAATTCCTTTCGGAGCATCCAGCATCTGAGTTCGGCGACAATGTGGGGAAGATTGATCACCATCAGGTCAGTCGCTTTTGCCGAAGGGGCTCCAAAAAGTCCTTGGGCGATGCGGTGTCGGTTGACTCCTGGGGCTTGAAGGAGCGCAAGCACCGCCGGAAGTTTCCAAATCGACGCCGCCATCTCTTCTTCTGGTTCTGCTGGGTGCTCCACGACTCCTGCTCCGCCAGTTTGAACCATGATCGCTGCCATCAGCAGCGTGAAGGTGAGTAGCTCGTTCCCGGTCATGACCTGCATGAGCTCTCGAAGAGCTAGACTTGGTAGTCCCCATAGGTGATCCTCATCCCTCAGGATACGGGGGAGCTTCTTGTTCTTGTCCATGGTGACTCCTTTGCCTCTGGCCTTCGACCATGTCTCGCATGGAGGGCCCGCCAAGAAGGCGACGACAAATCCGTCCAATGCCGCCTTCTGCCAGTAGTCCCTGGTGCCAACAGCCATGGCATCTCCCCAAACTGCGTCGACGACCACATCCATGCTGACGACATGGAGGATGTAGTGGCAAGGCCCCTCCATGCGATCAAGGAAGAATTGCAGGTCGCCCGGCCGTCGGCGGCCAGAGAAGATGTGCAGCAAAACTCGATGACTGAAGGCTTCCCTGGGAACAGCAGAGCCTGGAGGCCATTCTGTGACTGCAACATCTCGGCATTCCTGTTCCAGTCTTTCCAGGCTTTGCACATGTTTGGCAAAAGGGGCGTCCAAGTCCCACTTCACTGGTTCCAACAAGTCCAAGAGTTGAGCCTTAACCTCGGTAAGTGATACCGGCCAGGCTTGTGCATCTTCATCGTCGAGCGTGTCCATGAAGTAGCGCAAAGTCGCCGTCCAGGTAGTCCAGGTTGTAGGCCGCCTCTCCAGCTCCTCCAAGATGTGCATGATCGCCACCTCCACGTTCTCCAAATCGAGGAAGGTCTCCATGAGGAACATATGCAGGTCAGAGTCAACCTCCGTTTCTTCGCGAGCTCGCTGTGGCGCCTGTTGAGGTCCTTCAGCTTGAAGCGGAGGCAACAGTCGATCATGTTCTTTGGTGTTCTGTTGATCTTGATTGGAGCCCTTGCCCGGCACTGGCGCACACTCATAATTTCGGCTGTGCAGCGTTCTGCGGCAGTGCTTAGCGTAGTAGAGGTGCGCGTTCAACTTTCCCATGGTGTGGAAGTTTTTGAGGCACGCTGGGCAAACTGTGTCATCAACAAGCAATCTACGCTTCGCCACCTGGTGATGGACTCGGAACATGTGTGCTGCCTCCCCTGCTTTGGTGCGACATCTTTTCTTGCAAGAAATGCAACCATAGGTCGCGTGCGCGACAAGTTCTTGGCTTTCGTGAGGAACGTACTTGAGGGTCTGCCGGAGATGCCAGGTCAGGGACTCATAAAAGACCTGCACGCGCCATTGCTTCTCTCGCTGAAGGATGGCGTGCTCGAAGGCTCTACGGGTGAGTCTCCTCCAGTACGATCGATGAAAACAAATCACCTCTCTCCAACGTTCCCAATGTAGCTTGGGGTTCGGCATCTGAGAGCTGTGCTTGATTTGACCCCACATCCAATCCATGTCATCCTCGACCAATCCTTGCCATGCGCGATCTGCAGCCAGTAGCCCCCACTCGTGACGTTCTCCACAGTGATGTAGCGTAGCCACATATCTGAGTCTGGCTCTACGGATGAGCTCGACCGGGCTGGGCATGTGGACCTGCGACAACACTTCATCATCGGCCAAATGTTGGTCTGGTGACACTGGAAGTAATCTGCGATACAAGCGTATGACAGCCGCATGGAAGTGGGTCACCGTCGCCTCGTCTGTGACGACCCATGTTTCTGCACCGTACAGGAGTTTGCTAAGTACTAGAGATTCTAGTAGTTGGCACCTCTTCTGCAAAGGAAGCGCCCAGTTGCGAAAAATCAGTTTGCGGTGGTGATTGACAGTGGAGAATGCGATACCCAAGCGCCTCTTGATTTCATCACGCTGATCACAGGCATGGTGAAGCAGTCCTCCTAGGTGGACATAGCTCGTCGTCAGGGGAAGCTCCATGGTGCCGTATTCTGTGACGACTGGAAGACATCCGGCTGCCTGAGGTCCGAAGAATCTTTTCTTCTGCTGACGCGAGCCGCGTCCCCAGAATGACAGCAGAACTTCTGTCTTGTTCTTTGAGAGGTTTGGAGTCATGCTGTGTTCAATGCAAAGTTCAAGAAGTCGGCTCGCCACCACCCCTACCTTTTGAATGATGTTGTCGCCTGTGTTGCCCTGCAGACATATGGCTAAATCATCCATCCAGGTCGGTCCAATGAACTCATCTGTCTGACATAGTCTTGGATCGATCTGTTCAAACAAGGCAAACTGAGTGAGCTTGGGGAAAGTGCTAATCATTTGATGATGGCTCATAAAAGACTGGAGTCTGTGAAGGACACGCGCCCAGACATAGCTAAAAACTATGTCCGCGAATGGGTCTCCTGGTCTAGTGCCATGGTGCGTCTGGACCACATCTTCCTGGTGTCTCATCCAGAAGTGCGTTTGTAGATGCACCGCTTTAACACTTCTCTGCTCCATCACTGGTAGACCTGCTTCACGAAGGGCATGTGGTTCTTCAAGAATCCTCTTCAACTCATGCAAGGCATCCTCTGGTATCTTCAGGGTTTTCATGAGTCGTGCCAGCATTTCGTCTGTGAGGGGACCATCCATGCAGAGTGGGCGTAGGATGCGGTAGAAGGCTTCCTTGAGATCAAGCAGAATGACAGCGCATGAATATCCCTGATCTTTTGCTTGTCTCATGTAAGCCCGAGTCAAATGCACCCCATACGTGACGGGCATGGCTCTTCTGCCTCCCAATTGTTGAGCTTGTAGGAAGCTTTCGAAGACTCCTGCTTGATGCATGCGGAGTGTCCGATGAACCGCTTTTCCCACATGGCTGGATATCAATAATGATCGAAACGAGGAACGCTGCTTTGGATCTCCTTTGCCTTTGTATGCTTGAACGAGGAGACCTCCTTTGTGCATCAAGGCCTCATGGCCAAACAAACAAAGTTTCCACATGGTCGCAAAGGTGGCTTTGGCAAACTGCTCCGGGGCATAGTGACAGGCCTCGCCTGGGATCATGTCTGGCCCCGTAGCCTTGCCACACGCCACTCTCCTGAATGCCATCTCCAGGTCCACCAGAGTGGGAAGCTGGTCGGCTCTCATTTGGAAGGGCTCAGAAGACAGTTCACGTAGGCTATGTATCCAGTCATGACGAAACTCTTCACGTGATTGTCGTTTCCCTCCTTCCATATCCGAGAAGAATTGGATCCACGTCTGTGCAGCCTCATCTGTCGACGTGCAGTGTCGTCCATCCTGCTTGATGACAAACGGGATGGTGGGCTTTTTCGCCTTTTTGGGATTTGTGGGCCCTGTGAAATCCCGTAGCATGTGAAGGATGCTGTGTGCTGCTGTATGCTCATTGATCGTCTCCAACCTCTCCTTCATCAAACGCTGCTTGGAAGACTGCAAATGCGATCGCAGAGCAACGCGTAGCTTGCAGTATCCTGCCATAGTGCGCACTTGTGAAGCCCTCAAAGTCGTTCCATAGGCAAAGGATTCACCTGCATGAACCGCGGTGAGATGGCCTGACCATGCTCGAAACATTCTGTAGAGCGATTCACGGGCAATTGCTTTCCTTGTTTGCTTGAGCGATTTGCGGTACTTCAGCAGTTGCGTCCTGATTGCCCATGTGTCTGCGTCAAGGTAGGCCTTCTTAGGTCGAGATTTGTGCTGCTTGTCTTCGACCTGCATGGCTGACTGCAGTTGTCGCCTGACTGTGGTCTCATGAGTCTCAATGTCCGTCTTCCATGACGGGACTGCAAGCTCAGTCATCTTGAGGCGAGCTTTTCTTCGTTGATCAAGGCAAGACCATTCAACAGTGGCAGGCTGTCTGGGGGCTCGTCTGTAAGACGCTGCAATTTCCCATTGGATTTCGAGGCCTACGACTTGATGATCATCTCGAGTGGTGGCCAGGTCAAAGTCTTCGAGAACCTGCGACCAGACGCAAGAGGATAACCATGTGGAAGGAATCGCAACATAGTCAATACAGTGGGCAGAGTGTCCATCGATAGAGGTCCAGGTGTGACGTGAGCCCTGATGTATGCATGTAGTGGAGGGCAGACACATGTCGAACTTCTCAAGGGCCTCACGAAATTTTGCTGTGTTGACTGATGTTTTCAGGCCTGGTTGGTACACCACTTGATTGTCTGCAGCTCCTGGGGCAGCATTTGCATCAAGAAGCCAAAAACATGGATCATCGTCGATGTATGCCGCCAGCAAGTCAGTGGTTTGTTGCCACCATTCAGATCTCTCATCCTGGGATCGTCCTGAATGGGGTCCATGGCCAACGAAGAACCAGCAGTTCAATAGGCGGTGATTCATTTTGACCAGAAGTCTGCGCGG